TGGACGTCGGTCTGGCGCGCCAGGTGGAACCGCATCTGTTGCTGCTCACTGCTTTGGGGGGCTCGGGAGAGTGAGAGAGAGACAGAGCCCGGCCCAGCAAACGAGACCAAGCCGGCCTCCTCTCCCCCCTCAAGCGCCATATCCCGTACGTTTGGCGATCCCTCTACCCTTGCCAACCACGTTCTGGACGGCGCCCGTTTCCCACACCCTCACCCCTGTTCACCGGGCCGCCCACCTCACGTCTCCTACCCACCCCCCCAACCCCGCCATGCGGTGTTGGCTCTTGCATCCATCGTGCAGACGGGCGTGCCGTCTCCCTCAACCGTGTTGATCTCCTCCCACTGTTTTGGTGGTGTCTGTCATGCTTTCCAGCAGTCCCATCAATGCTCATGCCTGTCACTAACCCTTTCCCCACAGAGTAGCTGTCTCTTCGGACCGTCTGACTACCGTTGACCTGTCTGGTTTCCCGTCCGGCAGCTCGCCAACCACTTCCGCCAAGAGCTCAGATATAGATAGCTCCCATCTCCCATCCTCGCTGTCGACAACTTCTCATATCGTCTCTTCTTTCCACCGCAGACGTAGCAGAGCTTCAACCAACTGCCCTCACTCGCTCGAAGCAGTTCGTCTCAGCAACTAATACATGGTCTTGATGACCTCTTACCTTATTAACTAATTCCGGATCCGTCGTCTTCCTTCTCATCTCCGGCAGAACTTATACCATCAACAACGACCCATCCTCAGCAGCAGCAGCACCACACCAACCACAACCGTCAAGATGCTTTCCAATCCGCTTCACCGGTTCTCCCCCTATCACACCATCCCCTCCACCACGCTCATGTCCAACGGCCATGTCCCGAACGGGCACATGCACCACGGCCTCGACGGCCTCCCTCAGGGGTCTCACTACGCCCTCCAGCAGCTCCAACAACACGTAGGAGTCCACAACCCACATCTCCAGAGAGGCGGGCCACAGCAAAAGCACCGCCAGCACCCATACGGGCCAACCGCAAGGGCTACCGGCGCTGCTGGACCCATCCGGAGGAGGATTAGCAGAGCTTGCGACCAGTGCAACCAGCTGCGGACAAAGTGCGATGGGCAACATCCATGTGCCCACTGCATTGGTGAGTTGCCGTCGGCCTTGCTTCCCCCCCTGAACTGGTTGATCTAACCTTAGCAGAATTTGGCCTCGGCTGCGAGTACATCCGCGAGCGCAAGAAGCGTGGCAAGGCCTCGAGGAAAGACCTGGCCCAGCAAGCCGCCGCCCAGGCTGCTGCTGCCGCCGCTACCGGTGGCCAGAAGTCCGGGGACGAGAATGGTCAGTCCTCAGAGAACCGCAGCGACAGCGCCAGCACCACCAAGCCAATCTCGGACCAGCAGTCGGCCTCCAACGACGTCAAGGGCATCGACCTCGACGACTCGATGAGGAGCCAAAGGACGGGAAGCATGGACAGCCTGGGCGATATGGGCCACCAAGGGCACATGACAAGCCATCCAGGGGCGCTCGAGAGAGACCACATGGACAGCCCCAGCCAGCTCGACCTCAACGGCTACGGCAGCGTGCACCCGGCGTACGACCGCCAGGGGATGGGCGGACACATGATGAATGGCGCAACACACACGCCGTACGGGTCCAACCAGGGCAACATGTCCAGCTACCCCGACCTCCCCTACGCGCTGCAGACGCAGAGTCCCACCAGCTACTCGGCCAACGCGTCCAACTCTTTCCGCCTCGGCACCAGCCCCCTCAGCGCGTACCCCATGGGCGGCGAGACGACGTCGCCGGGCTGGATGAACATGTCGTCGCCGCCGCCGCAGTTCGCCTCGCACGTCCCGCAGAACAACAACTACGGCGGGCACTCGCAGTCGCGGTATCCGGTGCTGGAGCCGCTCATCCCGCATCTGGGCAACATGATCCCGGTCTCCCTGGCGTGCGATCTGATCGATCTCTACTTCGCCAGCTCGTCATCGGCCCAGATGCACCCCATGTCGCCTTACGTTTTGGGGTTCGTGTTCCGAAAGCGGTCCTTCCTGCACCCTACTAAGCCTCGCCAGTGCCAACCAGCTCTCCTAGCAAGCATGCTCTGGGTTGCTGCACAAACCAGCGACGCTCCCTTCCTGACGAGCGTCCCGTCCGCCCGCGGCAAGATCTGCCAGAAGCTCCTGGAGCTCACCGTCAGCCTCCTGAAGCCGCTCATTCACACTCCTTCGGAGGAGGCGTCGCCCGTGTCCAGTCCCATCCCTGACGGCGTTGCGCTGGGCGGTCTCGGCGTCGCGCTGCCGGGATCCATCAGCATGGACGCCTTGACTGGCGAGTCCGGTGCTTTTGGCGCCGCCGGCACGCTTGACGACGTGGTCACCTACATCCACCTGGCAACGGTGGTGTCGGCGAGCGAGTACAAGGGCGCGAGCCTGCGCTGGTGGAACGCGGCGTGGTCCTTGGCACGCGAGCTCAAGCTGGGCCGCGAGCTTCCTCAGAACGCCCCCTCGATGCAGCCGCACATGAGCGGGTCCAATGACATGGACGCCGACGGTGAGGTGGAGGAGGATATGGACAACACCTCCGGCGTCATCACCGAGGAGGAGAGGGAAGAGAGGCGACGCATCTGGTGGCTCGTCTACGTTGTTGATCGCCACCTCGCCCTCTGCTACAACAGGCCGCTCTTCCTTCTCGACATTGAGTGCGACGGCCTGCTCCAGCCCATGGATGATACCGACTATCAGAACGGCAACTTCCATGCCTACACCGACCCGAGCGTGCTCGCTTCGGATCCCGCATCGGCCTCGACGCTCCGAGTCCGCGGCCCATCCTTTGAGTGCACCGGCCACAGCATCTTTGGCTACTTCCTGCCCCTTATGACCATCCTGGGCGAGATTGTGGACCTGCACCACGCCAGGAACCACCCCCGCTTTGGTGTTGGCTTCCGCTCGTCCCGCGAGTGGGATGACCAGACCGCCGAGATCACCCGCCATCTTGAGGCGTACGAGCAGAGCCTGAAGCAGTTCGAGCAACGGCACCTGAGCCTCAGCGCACAGGCGCAGGCTGCCGACGAGAAGGCCGCCGAAGCAGCGGGCGTCCCCACCGCCAACGACCTCCCCCACGATGTCGGGACCCCCTCGGTGCACAGCGTCCACAGCGTGCACACCAACTCCAGCCGCATGACCGAGAGCGACATCCAGACTCGCATCGTCATGGCCTACGGCACGCACGTCATGCACGTCCTCCACATCCTCCTCACCGGCAAGTGGGATCCCATCAACCTCCTCGACGACAACGACCTGTGGATCAGCAGCCAAGGCTTCATCACCGCCACCGGCCACGCCGTGTCGGCCGCCGAGGCCATCAGCAACATCCTCGAGTTCGACCCCGGCCTCGAGTTCATGCCCTTCTTCTTCGGCATCTACCTCCTGCAGGGATCCTTCCTGCTCCTCCTCATCGCCGACAAGCTTCAGCTGGAAGCCTCCCCCAGCGTCGTCAAGGCCTGCGAGACCATCATCCGTGCGCATGAGGCATGCGTGGTTACTCTGAACACGGAGTACCAGGTAGGTTTTCATACTTTCAACCCGCATGGCAGGCCGGCAATGCTGACTCGGTATCAGCGCAACTTCAGCAGGGTCATGCGCAGCGCCCTCGCTCAGGTTCGCGGCCGTGTGCCGGAGGATCTGGGCGAGCAGCATCAGCGCCGCAGGGAGCTCTTAGCCTTGTACAGGTGGACTGGCGATGGTACCGGACTTGCTCTTTAGATTTCTATTGCTTTTTGTCATGGTTAAGCTTGGCTTGTCGCTCTTGCTTTGCTTTTGGCTTGGTTTGGTCTCTTCCTTTCTTGGCCACCTATACATACATCTTTTTTCTCTTTTTGGTTCCTCCTTTTTTCGGACATCGGATCCCGGAGGGGATGGTTGGCGCTCAATCAATTGGTCGGTCGGTTGGTCGGTCGGCGTTTTTACTTACATTGGCTCGGAGGCTGGGGGGTTTTTCAAAATATTTCTTGCTCTCTTCTCTCTCAAAATGGGCGACAAACGGGGGATGGAAAGGACGGATGGACGGACGGGGAAACAAACAAACTAACTTGGGGTCTTGCGCTTTGTTTTACTCGGCAGGCAGGCAGGCGGTGTCCTTATATTTGCTTTCCCTGGAGTGAAATTGCTTAGGTATTCTCGGCTTGGTCGGAGGGGACTTTGGTCGGATACTTTAGGGGTCGGCGGTTTGGTCTCATGAAACTGAACTGGACTCTTTTGAGCTCCAGACTCATATATGGTATATATATATATTATGATTTATGGGATGAATATATGCAATGAAAGCAAATATCTGAGAGAGCAAGTGGATGTGTTTTGTGTGTTTCTGTGCTCCAGCCTCCATTCTCCATGCTCCGGACTGGTCCCCGGGTGCAAACTTCTTCTTCCACAAACCTCACACCCTCAAGCAAAATAGCGCGCGGTAAATATTTTGCCCAGCTACGCTTCTTCCCTCAGCCACAGTCTGCGCGTTTACTTTTCTCACCAGCCACATCATTGGATTGCGCTTCACCCGACACCAGCACAGCTCAATCGACGGCGATCAAGCTAAAGGACAGCAGAACCCAACCGACAAGCAACTAGCACATCGCCTCAGCATTGTCATCATGGCGCATGTAGTTAATGACACGACAGGCCCCGACACACGGAAACCGCCCCTGCTTCGGTCAGCTGAAGAGAGTTTCTACTGGTTAGGTAGGTGCTGTTTGTTTCTCAAATAGGGGCTATGGAGAAGGAGGGATGAAGGGATTTGGATCTATAGTCACTCCCTGTTGTGTGTTGCTCTATCTTGTTTTATTTATGGATGATTGAATGGTTCTGGGGTTTCTCTTTTGCCCTTTGGGTGTAGTGTCATACTTTTACTTGGTCCCAAGACCGAAGAGGTTCATTCTTTTTGTTGCTGTTTTGGTGGGTTGGTGGCGTTTCGGGGGTAGGAGTGCACCACCCCTTCCAGGTTCTTATACCACTTCTCTTGAGGCCATGTCGGACAGGTAGCGTAGTGGTTAAGCGTCTCTGAGCGTATGTATTCAGAATTTGTGTTCTTTCCAGCGTTCAGCGAGGACCCGGGTTCGAATCCCGGCCTGTCCATACTCCCTGCTCTTACACGGGCAGAACATCCTTTTTGGCGGTTTTGGTGGGTTGGTGGCGTTTTGGAGGTGTCATGTCGCAGCCATGCTCGAAGTTTGAAGAGATTTTGTGGTTTGGATTTCTGCTGCCGCAGATATCTTCAACTTGATCTTCCCCTTGTCGATAAAAGGGGCAGAGTGTTGGTAGTGACGTTGGTACTGGAGCGGCAGCTTGATCTTGATTCACAGTACCTGCCCGGGCAGTCACTCCTTGTCTTCCGGAGCGAAATCGCCATGTTTACGCTTTTGAGTCTAACCCAGGAACCACTTCCCAGGTCCCAGCGTCTCTATGTCAGTCCTCATAACAGCACAGAATATATACAATATAATACACCATATTTCACAGGGTATTTCCCGAACCACCAACTCCATACAATGCCCTTCCCACCTTTTCCCAACCCAACGCTCCCCTCCCCATTCCATCCAAACCCCCCCTCACCTTCTACCCACCTCCCCCCGCCCTTCACACTCCCCCCTCCCCAACAACCCCCATACAAACCGCCGTAGCATACTCCCCATCATGGCTAATACTCACCCTAACCTCCCGCCACCGGCCCCCTTCCCCCCTCACAAACGCCCTCGGCGGCCCCGTCCCCGCGCCAACCCCCCTCTCCTTCACCACCACCACATCATGAAACGTCACTCCCCTTCCCCCATTCACCCCCCAATGCGCCTTGATCACCGCCTCCTTGACCGCGAAGCGGCCTGCTACAGTCCCCGCGCGGGTTTTCATCTCGTGCGTGAAGGCGGTCCAGTCGTCTGGGGTCATGCTTCCGTTGTTCTCTGGCTTCGCCTTCCAGATGTCGAGCGCTTCTCCCTCGGTGAGGATCCGCTTGAGGAACTTCTGCCCGAAGTCGCCGTCGAGGAGGGTCTGGATCCGGGAGATGCGGACGATGTCTGTGCCGAGCTGCAGGTTGGGGAAGGGGAAGGGGGTGACGGCGCGGGAAGCAAGCGCGGAGGTGACGGTTTGGTGTATTTCCGCCGCGTCGGGGGGTTGGTGTTCGGCTGCCGTTGGGGTTTCCGGCGGTTGAGATGTGCGATCTAGGCGGCGGTTTCCACTGTCTTTTACATGAGGAAAGGGAAATGGATCTGGCGGTCGGATTCCCGTGTGGTTCGTTTTCGATCTTATCCGCGAGAGCACCTCCTTCTCCTCTGCTGCATTGTACCCTTTTGGTATCTTCGTAAATCTCTCTGAGATTGGGTTCCGCTCCTTTGCACCGTGCTGCTCGAGGCCCTCTTTTTTGGACGACTCGGATTCGAATTGGGAATCAGATTGCCCTTCAGCCCGTCGTCGTACAGGCGGCGTCTGCGATTCTTTCTTCGCGAGGGCGGCGGCCCTTTTCACTGCGCTCCTCTGGGACTTGTGGAGGGGCTTGAAGAGGCGGTCAAGGACTCGTTTGAGGGGTCTGGTGCGGAACATCGTGCCCGGCTCGATAGTATCGAGATTTGTTTTCGGGTCGATTCGACAAGTGGTCGTCCGTTGGTGTTTGTCTCGTTGGTCTCGACTTCGCGGCGGTTCAAGGGTTATGGCGCGGTTCGACGACGCGACGTGAAAACTCCTACCAAAACTGCCAAACCCCCGCGGCGGCGAGCAACTCCTAATTACTCCGTTTTGCCAGCGCCGGACGGACGATCGCAAGCCGGGAAGTTGAAGAGCTGATTCTGACCTTGATATTGACCTTGACGAGTGGCCAATTGACCAACTGACCGACTGGCGACCCGCGACCCGCGACCAACGACCAGGCAATTTTATCCCACCCTGGCGATAAGACTGGCGCGCCAATCGCCAATCCAATTGGGGAATAAAACGGCCGCTAGGACAAGAGCGGCTTAGCGTGTTGGGGAAGACAGCTTCTGAGGTTATACGGAGTAGCGAGACGGAGTCATTGAAGTTGTCGTAACCTACGGACAACACTGCATGTTGCAATGAATGAAATTCACTGAGATACATATCATCAGCAGGAATTGATCGCTTTGAAAGTGGTTAAGTGCAAGAACTCGGCTTCAGGAGCCCATAGCAGGGACACAGCAACAAGTCGCAAAATCTTACCCTAGGCGTTTAACACGAGCAACGACTACGTCATCACCCCCGGCTCCCTTCCGAAGCTTCAACACCACGAAGACCAAGCCTTGAACAGCATTCTATCTCACCGTCAACGAATATCGGTATCGCCAACTCATGCCAAGCTCGACTAAAATTTGTATGAGTAACAAGGAAAGGCAGGCCAACCTCAAACAACATTACACGGCCGCCAGCTAATAAGAGAAAACGAACAAACTGTGCCACCGCATCCATGCTGCGAAACGAATCATGCTGTTTTCCTGTACAAGCAATAAGCGATGCGCAACACCAGCTGCTTTTCTCTGTCCATCTCGGTCATTACTGAGCCATCCCCGACCACAGCCCCGCCCGCGCCCTCGAATTTTTGCTTGTTTTTATTGAACGCCATCAGTGGGACACCGCTTCTGCTCAAGGGTCGGCGAGCAGGGGAGCGCGCTCGGTATCATTAGTCGTCGCGCGTCTGCCCCACGGAGCCTCCTTACCGGTCCACGCGGGGACAGCCACGAGCATGGTGAAGATAAAGAGCACCGCCATGATCACGAAGGCGAAGATCCACTGGAAGGCTACAACCTGCCTGTGGAACTGAGCAACGCCAAGGGAGGCTGATAGGACGCTCAGGGCGAAACCCATCGTGTAGTCCTGTGATTGGTCAGCATCAAGAAATTTACCCCGGCCAAAGAATGGCTTACCTTGTAGAGCATGATGAAGAACATGCCATATCCCAGAATCGACCAGATGAACACGTTCGCAAAGATGCGGGCAACCAAGCTGTTCTGGTGCGGCACCATGATGGCGCCGTTCCAGTAGATCGCCACGAACGTCCACGCCAGCGGACCAGACACGGCAGGCAGGTGGATGAATCGGGGGTAGGTGTTGTGGCGGAAGTAGAGGCTCGTCAAGTTGACGAAGTTGAGAATCAGGATGATCTCGGACCACACGAAGTGGTGGTGGACGAAGAGCAGCACCCAGACGAAGTGGAGCAGGTTGTTGGCGATGAAGTGGCTGCCGACAGCACACGCCACATTGACGGTTTCGATCGACGATGAGAAGAGGTGGGCAACATAGCCAAGTTGGAGGAGGAAGATGGCGAGCCTGTAGACAGCTATTAGTAACGGTTTGGCGGGAAAGGGGGCGCCGAACTTACCAGTAGAGAGAGGTGATCATGTAATTCTGGGTGAAGCCAGAGTAGTTGTGGTAGTTCACATCCCAGATGGATCGCGGGTGATAGTACCCATTCCAACCTCCCTTATCGAACGTGTAGTAGACCGAGCTGATGAACGACAGCAGCCAGGTGAGGACCGTCAGGACCTTGTACGCGACAACGGAGCCCTGACTGTGCGAGTCCCGTCTCGCGAACGGGTTGATGTTGTTGAGGCGATCCATGTTGCAAGCCGAGCTACAGCTGAATCGAGAACAGGGGTGGTGTTTTCTGGGCTCTGATGTCCAATTTTCAAGATGGTTTGGGGAACAAGTCTTTTGAAGGGCGAAGCAGGAAGGAAGGCGAGGAAAACAAGGCCCAACGGGAGTATGGAGAGGCGGAAAGCTAGCAAACCGCAGGGGATCGCGATTGCGGGGAAGAGAGATGCAAGTGCGAGCCGGATGCCTGTATTTGGAGGCGAAACAGATTAGTCCCAACGATGCATGCACACTTTGTGCATGCAAAGCAGGTTCGGCAGAGTACGAGAACTGGTCAAAGGAAGGGGTCACTTGGTGTTGATCAGTGTGGGGTACATGTTCACACTGTCGGTGCCTCAGGCTCGATGTCCTGAAAGGCGGTTTGACGCCATGGAAATCGATGTGTTTGCTTCGGCCACGAAGCTCCTCTCAGATTGGAACATGAGAGTTCCTGACAGCAGTTCTGGTCCCTAGGATTGAGCAGTTGATGGAGATTTGGGTATCTGATAGACAGTGGAGAGTGTATGTCGCACTGGCTAGGCGTTGAGTCTGGCTCGTCTGGGTACCGACAGTACCTTTCACAAATGCGGGTGGTTGAAGAAGGCCCAACAGCCGATCCTTTCCTTGTGAGACTGGACACTGGTGACGAGACGGCAGGCATGGGTGGTATTCCATGTCGTCCTTCTCAGCTTCTGCCGCTGGTGGTCAGCTGAAGCATTCACGCCAGTGGGTCTGCTTTGTTTGCAATTCCGGCTTCGACGTCATCAGCCATCAAGGTGTTTCAGTGTCTTCGACTTTCCATCAGCAGCTTGAAGATATCAATGCCTTCAGCGATCCATGACAGCATGCCCCCGATAGGAATGACAGCGTGAAACAAACGACACCCACTCCGGGAATCTCTGCTGATTCTATCGATAAGCACGCACTTCGTCGGCGACAAAAGCTTGAATGGAGTTGGGCAGATGTGTGAATTGGAGACGGGGGGTCGGGCGGGCTTGGCTCTCCAATTGCCCTTCTCTGCTCTGTGATTGGTGGGTGCTGAACTGCATTGCGTCACTGGAGCCACTGGCAGGCCCCTCATACGTAACTGTGTGCCCCTCACCACTGGCACACGCATCGTGCTTCATGCGTGCTCTCTCCCTCTGCGAATCTGCTTCATTTGTTTCGTGCCGTCGACAAATCGAAGGTCCAAACGCTGCATCTAGGCCTCAATGGACCGGCGGGTAGCTCGGCAGGATTGGGCGTAGAATTCCAATTGCTCCAGTTTTACAAGGCAGCAGCGACGGGATGTGACAAGCAGCGAGCGGAAGTATCGCTAGAGCGCCTTCCTCATAAATTCCAATTGCCTCTAGGGTGGATAATCGCCTGGAGTCACCAGGTCTCCCCCCTCTGTCGATCCGTTTGGCCCGATTCTCAACCACTCACACACCTACAGCGCTGCACACCACCACATGACGCCCCCCTCCAGCAGGTCGCAAGATGGGCCAAACGCTTTTCCACAAGCC